GTGAAATTCGCTTTACAAATTCCACTAAGTCTTGTCATCCACCTCAAGCTTTTGCATTTCTCAAAAGCAACAGAAGCCCTGGGACAGTTCCAGGGTAACATTCATCCTTTCTCATGTAAAACCAACTATTCAACTCAAATAAATGTGCCTACACAATTTCAGAAATCAGCATCAGTTTTACCTCTGGGGCAACAAGCACAGCATTAATTTTTTTTTTTAAATCCCTAAGGAATTGAAACATTTAAGAAATTGAAAGCACCGAAGGACAAATTATAAATCAAGATTGTAGAAACCTGTGACTATCCCAATGGCAAATGGATCAGGTGGCATCGTGTCACAGTGTGCCTTACTTTAAAATGCAGTAATATTTTCAGATAATGAGCTATCATGGTTTGGGGTTGATTTTAATTGTAAGAAAATTAGTGCACACTTTAATAATAATTATATTCAATAACTGTTTTTCCTACTAGGAAATTATCAGTTATGTCAATGAAAACAGTCACACTGGTGTTTCTTGCAGTCCATGAATACAAATGCTTCTGAGAACTGAAAAGAGCTAGAGAAAAAAAACCACTAAGGAAAGGACCTTGAATGCAGCTGTCACTCAACACACATGGAAGGTATCTGAGCCACATCCGTGGACTTTTAAAGGCTGATTTAAATGTCTTAGTTTTTATGCATAGAATTCCTTCACTTAGGTGTTCAGGTCAGACATGTTTTGAGTCATTTAGAAAGAGAAATGGGCTCGTCTCTGTTATTTAGAAGTGAGATTCAAAATAAACAAACATAAAGCAAATAGCCATTGGGAAAGAGTCAGTGCATAACCTAAGGAATAGTCTCATGATAAAAATTCAACACCCCTAAATCTACTAGGACAGTTCTGAACCCCAAAGTACTGTGGACTCAAATCAACTGCTGCTCATCTTTCCACCCTGCTTCCACATGTCTGGGTCTCTGGCAAATTTCGACTTAATATTTATCATGGAAAATATTTCAGAAAAATCTCAGGATATAGCTACTTTAATAAATAATGAAACGAAACTCCTTGATCTCTTGTAATTCAAAAGGTAAGAGGAATCCTCGGGCACATTTCTGGGACTCAGACAAGAAAAGTGAGGCATAGAGAGTTAAAGGTACGGGCATGAATTACTGACTTAGAAAAGCAAGACTCAAGAGTGATCCGCTCTTGCGTGTTTGACTTTCACTCGACAAGGACCATGACGGCCTGGTAGGTGCCGGAGTGAAAGTCCAATGAGCGCAGAGCATCTTAGCACCAGCACAGCATGTGCAAACCAGAATTAGGAGCCAAGGCCCAGCCTTTAAGGATGCCAGAATGTGGTTCTTTTCCTTGTGCTGCTGGCTCCATTGGAAGTCCTAACCCTGGTGTGCAATGTTTCTCTCTCTTTTCTCGGTCACACTAGTTTCAAATATTTTATGATTCTCTAGAAGAGACCATAAACTGGGTTTTGAATAATATGGGGTATACAAATAGAAATTATGTTTATTGATCAGAACATATTAGAAGAGTGTATTTATAGTTACTTGATTTATACGAATAATTTTTTTCTATAGAGAAAGGGTCTTATGATCTAGGTTTTCATCAATAGGTGGCTGTGTAATTAACATTCACCTTGGGGAACGACACATCCATGGCAAACTTTTATTTCTTAATTGGGTCAGTGAAGAAGTGGACAGGGGCTGTCTGGGTTCATTCTAACACAGGGCCAAGAGAAATGAGGAAAAGCAACAGACGAAAGCTTTTTAAAGTAATCACTTTCCTTCTTTATGGCTCCAATTGATAGCCAAGAATTGCTTAGACATATTTAGAAAATGCGTATTCAGAAGTTGTAGAAGCATTCCACAGCTTGCCTGGTACATTTCATCCTAGGCAAAAATGCATATTCATGCCCCACCTTTTCATTTTTAATGGTAGTTTTTACACAGTTCTCCCCTGCTAGCTAAGGAGCAGATTCAGGCCTTTTCCACGGCCATCATCTTAATCTAGAGGTCCTCACTAGAGTACGGTAACCATGTGGCTATTTAAATTAAAATTAATTAAAATGAAATAAAATTTAAAAATCCACTTCCTCAGTCTCAGCAGGCACATTTCAGAAGCTTAATGACCACATATGGCCAGTTGTACCATAGCAGAGTGCAAATGTGCAACCTTCCCTTGATTTCAGGGTGTGTTGGACCTTGCTCTGATATTTAGAGATTCCCTAAGACATAGACTGGAGCGGACGACCAGGCCCTTGAGCCTGCCTCTTCTCTTGGCACATGGAACAAACCAGCATTTTCACGTATGCAAAACTACGACAGCAGGTCAAGATGAGGACTGAGAAGCAGACACCTGCCCACCTCTAACTTTCCTAGATTCAATTTCACAGAGAGCTTTTGCCGCTTCAAGGTTGAGTCAAGTAGGGCTGAAAGAACGAACGAACAAATGAACGGACAGAAGGGGAATTTTGATGGCTTGGCCTCACATCCCTATTCCTAAACCTTGATGGGCTGAAATTAACAGACTGGATTGATCCTGAGATGAAGAACAGCCCCTCATCATGGGTTATGGCCATTGAGTCCTAAGTATTTCTGAGTCATGTGCCTTTTGTAATTCTTACCACCAGATCTTGTACCATTCAAGACAATCACAAAGCCCTTGGAGTCCACAGCTCTCTCAAAGGCTACTCAGAGAGGCCGTTACCTCCTGGGTAAGCCTCTTGGTGGCGAAGACGCAGGGAGGAGGGGCTATGACTTTAAGACAGGGTATTTGCTTCACAGGGACCTGGTTCTGCCACTACACAGAGAAGTACAGTGTAAGATCTTGGAGTTTGGTTTTCCTTCAACAATCAAAGCCCTTTCCTTAGGGATGGAACACACTAAGGGATTTCCCTACCCCTATTTCATGACCGTGCTCGCAGTACATGTCCAAGGAATAAATATGAATGTGCCGAGAGACTGTTCACAAGCTCATGCTTAAAAACATTAATGTCTTCTTTTTGATGGCATAGTGATATTGTAACATAGCAGTAAAGTCCTGGGAGAGAAACAGCTACAGGCTCTGGGACTAGCTGTGCCTGCAGACATGCTCAATATTGACAGCACTAGAAAACCCATTCTTTCATCTTTATAAGCTACCTTTAAGCTTACTGAATCAGTACATTAATCAATAGTAGCTTCAACAAATTAATATAATCGCCCCAAAGAAATGCAATTTTTACCCCTATTGACTATCAGATTATCAAACATAAAGCAAATTACTCATCTTGTTATTATTTACTAATAATTTATTTTCAAGATAATTTTCTAATCTCTTGTCATTCCTTAAAGTTACAACACCATTTGATCAAATCAAAATAAATCTACATTAAAATTTTCCATTACTGTAGTTTAGGTATAGGTTTGTAATCATTAAAAAAAAAAAACCCTCAAACCCATTTACTTCTTACAAACTATTAGAATGTTCTTTCACTCAGCATAAATCAAGTTAATTAAAGCTTCACTGTAATATCTTATATGAACATAAGCAAACACCAAATCCACGTAATGAATCATATAAAATGTGCCCCCAAAACATATTAAGACTTTGGGAATGTGTGCTTATGTTCAAACTATCATCTCTAAAGTAGTTAGACTTGCCATGCATCCTTTCCACAGCATGCTTCCACACAGCCAAATCTCATTCTAACGCAGATGAAGGACAGGAAGACAGTGACTTTCCTCTCTCGCCCCCTCCCTCCTCCCCCAAATCCCAAAAAATCGACAACAAGGTTTAATCACAAAGACACTGCCTTGTCTCATTGTTGTTTGAGAATGCACCTAAGTTCAGGGACTGAAATCAGATAACTGCTCAAAATCTAGTAATGCTGGAAAGTGACTTTACAAGACCTACTGGGTGTCATGCAAGTGGTTCTTCCTGCCTTCCTGGAGGAGAGGGGAAACATATCTTTAACAGCCCTACTCGGTTATTTATCCGAGAAATCCTTTCATTCAACAATTTTGGGTTTTATTATGAATTTATTTGTTCCTAATTACAGGTGGTTCCCACATTGCCCTTCAGACACAACGCTGACATCATTAGCTGCTGTGTCAGCAGCTGGTTTAACTGGTGATGTTTGGCCCAAAGCTTTTGTTTTCCTTCACCTGATGTGCTACTCAGACTCCTGCCAGGGCTTTGCTGTCTTTAAGTAGAGAAGCCTTTTCAGCTGATAAATACCACCCAAAGCAAAGCTGTGATAACAAAAATAATTAAATAGCAGAAGTGGTTAGAGATCAGTGTTCATTCTTCAGATTAAATGTAAAAGCCTTCTCTGGTTACCAGACTGGCAAGTTTTAACAAGAAACATCAGCAGGTCTTTGAGAAAGAAGCGGGCCGCATTAAGATGGCGTCATTAGGCAATACATTTATTGTGAAGCCAATTAACCTTTAGTCGGGAAAGTGTCTGGGCTTTAATAGTTTGGTTGGCTGAGGTCAGCCTCTAACAGGCCAGGATGACAGCCCTGCACAGGCTGATAGGCGCTGCAGACCAGCGCAGAGCCAGGAGAGGCGCCGTCTTCTTCTGAATTCCACTCTGTTTCCAGGGAGCGCACAGCCCTGACCTATCCATTTAGGTAATTAAAGCTTCCATTTGGAAGTGTCCTGCAGGAAGGGGAAATCTTGGGGAGATAAATGGCTGTTTCTTTCTGCATCCAGCCGCCAGGTCCATCATTTGATGGACTGCCGGAACCAGGCCCGGCTGCCAGGCCCTCCTAAAAATAGAGATGAATTGGGCTGCAGACAATTCTCTAAGGCAAAGCAACTCTGTCATTTTCTTCTTTGTGGGCTATGATTTCATTGTTAGTCAAGGTGGACGGCCGGCACCAGGGCCTCTAACAGCTCACCCACCACCTTCTATTTTCTGAGAAATCTCTCCAGTTTATTTACTTAGCGGCCAGGTTTGTTTGGCATTGGAATGTCACTCCCGGCAAGCACAGCTGGCTGTCACAGCTGTGCTGTCACTTACCTTCCAGGCGATTTTGTTGCCTTTGGAGTCATGTTCAAGGGCAATTGGGAAGTCTCCACGCTCATAAAATTTTCGAAACGCTGTGGGCTTGGTTGGCCTTTCTTTAAATGCCCCTGCAGCTGGAGGGCCCCGAACCTTGAAGGAAAAAAATACTCTTCAGATTTTAAAACATACAAACATACAAACAAAAAAAACTAGGGATAGCATTTTTTTTTAAATTCGATTTACTTAAAATATGCTTGAAATAAAGATCAAATTGCTTAACCAGGAACAACAGAAATCTTACACTAAAACATTTGGGAAAGAAAACCATTTTATAATCACTATTAAGGGGCTATTTTGTTTCAAGCTACCTTAGAAACCTGCCTACCAAACGTCACCTAAAATATCATTGAATGAGAAAGAGAAACCAGATTTGAAGGAGCATTTGATAAGGCTGCAGGTCCAAAGTGTTAAAAATGGTTTCTAATAACTGTAAATTTGAATCTCAAGTCAGAGATATGTTGTCAAATGGTAAAGCAAGAAATTTATAATATTTTATTTCAATCATCATAAATATGATGACATATGTTCTTACAAATATTGATAATAAAACTAAAATATTATATAAAATGAATGAATTAGGGAGTTTATAAAGGTGACCTACTATATATATATATATAACATATATTTGATAATACCAATTCATGAGAAAGTAATATTAGAATAAATTACATGAGACATTTCACTCCCCAAACTGCATTTCTTCATTAAAAAAAGAAATAATTTTGACCAGTTGTGGATTTCTGTAATGATGTATGTCTCCTGTATAACTTTGACCAGCTGTGGATTTCTGTAATAATGTGTGTCTCCTGTAAAAATAAGCTTGGTTTTTTTGTTGTTTGTTTTCATTTTGTTTTTTTGTTTTTTGCTTTTATTCTTTTGAGACAGGGTCTCCCTGGCTATGTAGATCATGCTGGCCTCCACCTCACAAAGATCTGCCTGCCTCTGCATCCTGAGTGCCGGCATTAAAGGTATGTGCCACTGCACCCCACAAAAAGATTCTCTGATGAGTGTTGAGAACTGCACTTATGCGCACATTTCATGATTGCATTTTTCTTTACTGCCAAATAGAAATCCATTGTGTATGTGTGCCACGTTTTCATTGTCCATTCATCAGATGAAGGACAACTTGGTTGCTTCCATTTCCTAGCTATTGTGGACAGCGATGACCATGGGTTGGGTGTGTAGACCCAACTGGTACATGTACAATACAATACCTACAGCGAAGGCTCGGAGAGCATGTGGAAGAGGAGGCAGAGATTGTAAGAGCCAGAGGACCAGGATGCCTGCAGCTAGATAGTTTCTTCTAGACATGTCAGGGAAGCTGTAACCCATGAAACCTCAACAACATGGTCGCCTAAACAAGAGCTGCATGACACCGGCTGGCATGCCAACACAGGTAGGGGAGATTTCACAAGGTCCCACCCCAGATAAAGAGCTGCAGGCAGTCAATGGCTGCTGAGAGGGAGAATCAGCCTTTCCTGGGGACAAGGCTTCTTACAGGCTATTCCAGCTCAAGTGGTCAGCTCTAAACACGTGTACATAAGAACAGCATTCAATGGGCTCAGAAGATTGTGTGTGTACAACAACAGTAATTATAGAAGAGAGGGGCTGGAGAGATGACCCAGAGCTTAAGAGGAGCGCTCTCGCAGAGGACCCGGGTTTGGTTCCCAGCACCCATACGGTGGCTAACAACTGGCCATAACTGCACTTCCAGGTGATATAATGCCCTCTTCTGACCGCCCTGGGCATTGTACAATGTGTATGCACTTACATGCAGGCAATACAGTCATACACAGAAAATGAAAAAATAATAAACTATTATAAAATAATTATAGAAGAGGTCATGAACTTATGAGCTTGGGAGGGAGTAGGAGGAGCATAAGAGGAAGGAGAGGGAGAAATGATCTACTCATGTAGGAAATTAGCAAAACAATTTAAAAATCAAACTTTTTCTGTAGACTTAGTCATACTCAGCTTACGTTTTGAATCTTCAGTATTTACATATGAACTATGTCACTAGGTTATACAATCGAAGTGTTAAGTACTCTGAGAGAATCCCTCCACTTCTGCACTTCCTTATTGCTAGAGCACCCTTCTCCTTCCTACCTGCTAGAAGAAGGCAAATTCTAGTCATCTCACATACACGTTAATAGAATTACAATTAGTTTTCTAACTGTATGGATAAACTGACAGGTCATTTAACTTAATATTTTATTCATTGTATTAATTTTTAACGTTTAAAAATATATTAACATTTGTAATAATGTAATAAAATACATATAAACGGCCAAATACACTCTAATTCATATACTAAACATGGTACTTGGTATCTGTGTGGGACACTGATGAATACCACCATGATGCAGCACTGAAATAGAGCTGGCGGGGGGTCACTGTAACACAGGGCACTTGCTTAAGTTCAGAATGAATTCTATTACACAGTACTGATTCCTGGTGTATGAGTGATTCATGTGAGAATCACCTGTGAGAGGCAAGATAGCTTCTTATTCAAGATTTGAAATGTGTTCTGGTATTAGAATTACTCAGCACCACTTCCAACCAAATTCACTCAATCCTTAAATAACTGTATACATTTGACAGCTACCGTGCTCAAATTTCTGAGCTACAGGCTATATACAAGGGATAGTGTTTCAATTACATCACTATCTCTGGAACTGTAGAGGTGAGATTCCTGGCCTCTCCTGCCTCATGAAGTAGTAAATCTGCAGTCACACTTTTGTGAATTGACTTTTTTTGGCCGAGAAATTGCTTTAAAGAAAGATTACCATCTACCAACACCATACCATTTTAATACCCTCAAAAAAAGTGATATAAGAAAAATACATGTTTATAGAAAAATTACAGCGCTGTACTACATGTGTTACCATAGTTAGACTGCATGGGTGTGTGCACTGTTGTTTTAGAGAATTTAAACGACTGGCCTGTGTAAATCTCATTTTATTTTACTTCTCATATTTGACTTAACTGTGGATCCAATTGGAGGAAACAGGATACAAAACCCCATATATTCTTTATCCACATTCCCAGTGGGAATGTATTGAGAAACTATGGGAGCATATCATAACTAGTCTATTGACAGTGATATGGATGACCAGGATCCCTCATTTCCCTGTTTGCAGCCACACCCTTCTAAACCAGCCTCACTCCCTGTCCTCCCCCCATGCCAGCAACTATTTCTTCTTCCTTTCTAGAATTTCATTATTCCTAGAATCATATAGCGTATGGCCCCTCAGGATTGATTCCCTGCCCCACTTTCTGGATATTCATATAAATCATGTCTATCAAAGTCATTCAATACTTCCTAATGCTGGAGTAGTGCATGCTATGAATGTACTATGACTGGTTAGACCATCCACCACTGAAGATCTGGTAGTCTCTCTTTTGGGGCTATCAAAAATAAAGCTGTGAAGTTTTGTAAATGATTGTTATCAAGTTGAGGAAGTTTCCTTTCTCTTCTCCTCCAGCTTTGAAGTTATGTATGAAATGTTAGTCTGTTTTGTCTGTTTTCTTTTTTTCTGTATCAACCAATATACTCATGTGATTTTCCTCTGTTGTTTTGATAATGGAGTTTGGGGAATATAAATTCCATTCCTTAACAGTCGTGTGACTTTCAAGTTATGTTTCCTATTGGGTGACTTATGATGAATTGTGTGTGTGTGTAATTGGCCCATTTCATATAAATTGTCAAAATGATCCGTTGGTGTCTTTCTGATGTCTGCAGGATCTGTAATGATACCCATTATTCACTTCTGACTTTTGGTAATTTGTGTCTTTTTATTTCTTTGTCTTGCTAGGTGTTACTCAGTTTCATGTCTCTTCAGAGACCCGTTTGCTTCCTCACTGTTTGCTCTACGGCTTCTGTTGTCATTTTAGTTCCCTTTTCCACTTGATTTGCATTTGTCTTTCTTGTTTTTTTAGTGGGAGTTTAAATTATTGGCTTGAGACCTTTTCAAACGTGTGCCTTGAATCCTGTAACTTTCCTTCTTGGCACTTTGCACAATACCCAAGGTTGTCAGATAGCATTTCATTTCCGCACAGCCCGGTGACTTTAGATTTTCCTGGATTTCTGAGGAGTTTTTGGATGCACCTGTATGATGTCACTTAAGTTTGAGGTTTGCTTTATGATTCTGAACATAGGTTATTATGGCTCCTGGTCTGTGGCCTTCATAACACGTGTGCTCTGCGGTTGCTGTGCAGGGTGTGCTGTTATGTTCTGAGTAGGCCCCATTCCCTGATGAGGTGGCTGAGTTTCCCTACAGCCTCCCTCTTGGTTTCCAGACAGCTATTCCCGAAGTTGAGGGAGGTGCTGATGCCTCCAACCAATACCGTGAATTTGTCTAATACTCTGCAGACCTATCAATACCTGCTTCACATATTTAGTCACACTCTTATTTTCGTGTATACACACTTAGGATTTTTGTGACTGCTTTTGTGCCTGTTTTTATTATGGTCTGTCTCTAGACTGACCTCTGTTTCATTATACAAAGTTCCTCTGTTTCTGGTAGTATTTTCTTTAACGTTCACTTTATTTGATATTATTATAGCTATATCAAATTTCCTTCGGGTTGTTAAATATATTTTAATATAGAATTTAAGCATCTGAATCGGGCAGCAGAGAGGGGCTCTAGAAGACAGCAGGCCACACAGGAGAGCACAGGTGTGGGAGACTTCTCTAAGAGAAGCTAACTAGAATTCTCTTTTAGTTAGTATTCATTTCAGAGAATCACCGTCCATTTCTTTCACTTCCAACACGGCTTCCATTATATTTGAAATGTTTCTTAGATAACGTAACACCGGGTTTTGTTTTGAATCCACTCTGTCAATCTCTGTCATTTACCTGGTGTACTCAGACGTTTACAACTCAGAGTACTGATATCCTAAGAATTAAGTACATCACGCCATTCTTTGCGTTCCTTTGTCAGGTTTTTCTCTATTTTATTTTCTTGTTATTCCGCGGGTTATTTGAATATATTTAAAAGTACATTTTGATTGATCTATTGTCATTTTGAGTATATATCTTTTTATATTTATAGTGCTTGTTCTGAGTACTACATTGTATCTGCATAATT